TCCGCCACAGAGAGACAGAGAAGGCAGAGTGAGAAGGCAGATCTGAGACTAAAACCCCGGTTAGCCATGTGGGAGTCCAATGCCTTATCCACCAGGCTACCTGCCGGCCCCCGAATCCTGACTTTTTAGAGAAGGCAGAGTGAGAAGGCAGATCTGAGACTAAAACCCCGGTTAGCCATGTGGGAGTCCAATGCCTTATCCACCAGGCTACCTGCCGGCCCCCGAATCCTGACTTTTTATATGTGAGTTCCAGTTTGTTTAGAGACCTTGCTTCCTATCCTGTAATAGATTTTATTTCAGTGAGTCTTAATTATTGTTCTGATATAATAATATGTAACATATTTTTTCATTTTCTACTATATTTTGAGGAACATTCTCTTCTCTACTATACTTTTTAAAGCATAGCAGGGACCGTATGTCTGATTATTCTAAGAATTTTATACTAAAATATTAACTAAGATTTATTTGGAAAGCATTATGTCACTCTAAATATGATCATTTTATCAGAATAACAAGCACTTCAGTAGTTTAGTGTCACATTTTCCAAAGTGAATTCCACAGAACAATTAATTCGGTTAGATACTGTTAGAAGTTAAGCACTCCTGATCTCTCCTTCAAAAAACCTTCCAAAGAAGCTTCTAACATTTTAAGTGGACCCAATTTTCTTCATAGCAAGTAACGGAAAACCCTGCCAAATAAACACAAACACGTTTTGCCTTAGAGATATCAGTCACAGCCCCCGCCATAGCATCACCTTCTAGTCTGCCAAGAGGAAAGCAGCTGATCTTTGTACCGTGGTGGCTACACCGTGGGACCAGTCCCTCGGCCATTGCTGTTAAGGCCAGGGGAGACACCCGACCTAAGGGGTAACCAATGAATCCATAAACTGGTCAGCAGCTTATGATAAAGTGGCTTTGTGACTAGACAGCCACTCGGATTCTCCCTTTGGGAACGTGAACTAGGACATGTGAAATGAATTGGCCAGCTGGTAAGAGGCGGAGCAAGAGACAAGAGTAATTACTTAAATGACGTAACAGTGGAATATCAGAGTTTGAGGCCACAGCTTCCTGTTATTGTAGAGAACCCTGGATTCCAACCAACCATCAAGCTGCAATTGCTGGAGCCTCCCATGAGGCTCAATTTTGTTCAGCTTTTTCCCATAACCCACGTGAACTGGCCACAGAGATAAGATTCCTGTTTCCCCTTTTTACTTCATGTAGTTTTAGAACTACATTCCCCATTTGTCAAATCATTAAATGAGTCTGTTTATTGCAACTGAAAAGTTAACCCCTTCATTCTCCCTGTAATAGGATTCGTATTTACTCAGTCATGTTCCAGCCAAGTGTTTTTCAAGAGTACTAACACTTAAGCAAAACTTTCCAGGCATATCTTCCATTGTTACACATCTTTTCCACTTTTGTTTTTATAAAACACTTTATTTTATGAGAGAATTAGAGGTTATTAGAGGGATATTCTTGAATCTTCTCTAATTCGTATTTTAAAAACATGGTTATGTACAGCCTTCTAACACCTGTAACATTATCTGTGGCATAACTCACAGATGATTTTGCCTACAGCTCAAGGTGACGCTATTGAGCACCTTGCATACTTTATACAGTTGTATAAAGTATGCAAGGTAGTGGGCATTCCTTATTACACTGAGTCAATCAAGAACTTTTTTGTGGGCGAGTACACAGAAGTTGCGTAACAGTGTGAGCTGGATCTGAATATCTATGGGAGGCTCCTGTGATTTTTCTTACCCCAAAACGTTCACGAGATGAAGTAATTCCTCCCTAACACCACGAGAGGGCACTGTGGCACCAAGATAACTCCTTCGGTGGTTTCCACACTGCCAACTGATTTTCACAGCTTCTATTAATACATGCCTGCACCACAGTCATCCTCTGAGAAAAGTCTTCTATTTTACCTTTTTGCTGTCTTTACATCAGAATTGGTTCTCAGACTGGGGCCAGAAGTTGGCATAATGGCTATGTCGTTGGACTCCCATGCAGTCGACCACGGTTGGAGTCCGGAACCCGATGGCTTAAACTCATGCCAGGCACCTGTGTGCGTGTGTGCCCAAGATCTCGAGAGGAGAATGGAGGAGAAGGGATTGCGGCGTGGCCATCCCCCCTAGGGGGTGATTTCTCGCTTTCTGTCTCTCTGTCTCTCTCTGTCTTTCTGGTGAGCGCATGCACCCTGTAACAAAAAAACCTCTCCAAAAAAAGGGGAAAAAAAAAAAAAAGAATTGGTTCTCAGACTGAAAGAGAACAGAGTTAAGAGAAACTACTAGAAACCACATTGCACAGCAATTAGATCAATCTTTGTTGGGAACCAGCAGTTAGCGTAATAGCTATGTCACTGGACTCCCATGTAGTTGACTGCCGTTTGAGTCCCAGACCCAGTGGCTTAAACTTATGCTGGGCATGTGTGCATGTGTGCCCAAGATCTCAAGAGGAGAATGGAGGAGAAGGGATTGCGGCGTGGCCAAACCCCCCCCCCACCAGGGGGGGTGATTTCTCTCTTTCTGTCTCTCTGCCTCTCTCTGTCTGTCTGGCGAGCGCACGCGCCCTGTAGCAAAAATCTCTCCAAAAAATAAAAAAAAAATAATAAAAAATAAAAGAACAATCTTTGTTGGCCTCCATTGTTATGCTGCTGACAAATTCAATAATCTTTCACTTGTTTATTTTTGAGATTTATTTTGTATTTTCATGAGCAAGACACAGAAAGACAAAGGCCTCACTCTAACAGTATCTTGATCTCTACCCCAGCCTCAGCCAGCTCCATAGAACCAGCATGCAAGCACTTATAATGCTCAGAAACTTCTTTGCATTTGAGCCGGAAACCCTCCCTTGTGGTTCGGCTCTGGGCATTGCACTGCGTTTTCCCTGCATTGCACCTAGTTTTCCTGTTGTGGCACGGTCTGGCCTCCAAATCCAGGAATTCAGATCTAAGTGCATGCACAGTTTTTTCATAATAAACATTTGCATGAACTTTTTGAACACCCCCTCATAAAATTAAGAGGTACGTTTTTCAAGCAAAGTTTATCTTAACACTCGTTAACATTTGTGGAACACCTGCTGTGTGATAGAAGGCTTACTGCGTTTCCAAGGCTGGGGAAAATAAGTTGTACTTATTTTCAGTCTAGGAGATACAAATGTTATTAATTGTATACTCCAACTGATGTACTACCAAGAGACCTGCATGAAGCTACGGACAGGTGACTGGGAGACCTGTTGCAACCTCAGAGTGACAAGTAGTGATTTCTCTAAATAAATATTTGGTGGGGTTTTTTTGGAGAGGTTTTTGCTATAGGGCGCATGCGCTCGCCAGACAGCCAGAGAGAGACAGAAAGCAAGAAATCACCCCCCAGGGGGGATGGCCATGCCACAATCCCTTCTCCTCCATTCTCCTCTTGGGATCTTGGGCACGCACGCATGCGCCCGGCGTGTTTTAAGCCACCGGGCGCGAACCGCTGTCGACTCCGTGGGAGTCCAGAGACATAGCCATTAGCCATTACGCTAACTGCTGGTCCCGAGTAAATGTTTTTTGAGTCCTGCAAAGAAGAAGGTGTCAAACAAACAAACAAAAAAGGGCAGAGTTCAGTGGACGGTGAGGGAACAAGAAAAGGGGGAAAAGTTGGATATCAGGAGCCTAAAGAAGTCGTAAAGCCTGAGTATCTTTATCCTAAATGCAACGAAGGACACCGAAGTTTCAAGGCGATGGTCCGTGATATTTGCATTTAAAAAGTGGATGCAGACGCTGGGTTAGGAGTCGTGTCCTTCGTGGAAGGCACGACGATGAGGGTGGCTGAGCTAAGACGAGGACTGGTATTTACAGAGTAAACTTCATCCAACGTGGGACAGAGTACAGAAGGTGCTCATTGCGCTTTGATTCTAAGTCAGCGACTGTTTAAAATCGGCTAGTAAAATAATTCGATTCCCAACACTGTGCGTCAGAATCCGTGCAGTCAGCGTGGTTATTTCATTAAGTGAAAGTTTTACTGTATTTTGATGGTCCATAAGAAATGATCCCTGATGCATTAAAAAATATTCCAGAAAGTCGCTCGTCCCCGATCACCAGGGCTCGCGTTTGGGGAAGTTGGATTGCCACGAAGAAAGTCAGATTCGCCGCCACAGACTGGGATCCTGGGGAGTCAAATGCCAGCTCCAAACCCAGACCCGTAGAGTCGTCCCACTGCTAGGGACCGACACGCATTGCCAAAGATTCCCCGCAGCACCCCGCCCTCCCACTCGCTACGGTGGCCGGAAAGGTCCCTAACTGCGCCGCGGAAAGTCAGCTCGGAAAGGACGCACGCGCCTTACGCACTACTGGGCTCGGGGCGGGATCCCAGCCAGCGGACCGTGGCGCTGGCGCTTGCAGTTTCGTCTTCTTATCCGCGCCTCGGTTTCCTAGAAGGGCTTTTACTCAACGACGCTTCCATTGGTGTTGGGCCGCGAGAGCCCGCCTTTTATTGTTTTCAATTGGCTGCGTGTCCCGGCGCCAGGCTGGGGGCGGGGCTTGGGCGCTTTAAGATTGCATCAGCTGGTGGGTCCGGGGCCACGATCCGCAGGTGCAGCGTTAGCGGTGCTCTGGCCCACTTGTGACCTGCCTCGGCTCACCTTTCTTTTAGGCTACCGTTTCCCGGTTCTGCCGCCTCGTGGCGGTTCGCTGATGTCCGTGGAGAACAACAGCGGCGGTCTAGGAAGCATGGGAGGCGAGGAGAAGCCGGTGAGTAAACTTAGTGGGACTCTCTGCTCGATGCTAGCGCCCGGAGGGGAAGAGGCAAGCAGCCCCAGCCAGGCTCTGTCGGGCAGAGGAACCCAGAAGGGACGTTGGAGCTCCTGGACGAGACAATCACCCCCAGTCTCCAACCCCTTGGGCAGGAATGGCCCCTTCATAAAGTAGGGTGGGGTCTTGCATTCATCTCTGGGTTCTCACTCCCACCCGTTCCCTCCCTCCCCCCAATAATTAAACTAAGACTTTGAGTGAATGGAGCTCCGAGCCCCGTATTTCATTCTAAGCCGAGACAGAATTAGGATCTAGGACCAGGGACCCCTAGACTTGTGTTTTTACTCACTTGGGAAGATAATGCCCCGGAATCTTATTTCATCCTAAAACCCTTTGGGTGTAAAGAGCTCCATTTTAAGGAAGGGAAAACCTATTGCCCAAGTTTGGGGGGTTTATAAATAAATGGTGGAGGCCAGATGATCCAAAAATGACAAACTTCAGAGAAATGATGCCCTTTCTCCACCTGCCCGGTGCTGGAGGTATGCCTTGACACATTCTAGCATGCTGACTATTTTGCCTCAGAACTCTTTTGCTGTCATCCGGTGTTTAAAGGCAGCTCCCAGGTCACTTTCATTGCCAGATTGAATATTTTACAAAATCAACTAACGTTTTAAGAGTTCATTCCCCCTAGCACTGAGCTGGGCGATTTAGGTAGGAGGATGAATAGGTCCCGTCCCTGCCTTTGAAGACCTCACAGCTTTGGTGTGTAGGAGGCAGGTAAACTGTTGATGCCCTGTGGTTGGCCTGTGGGAGTAGAAAAGAGGAAGCACCTAACTGGGAGGACTCTCTGAAATTGAGTTTATGAGAATAAGATAATTAGTAAAGCAGTCAGAGCAGGGCTTCCTGCTCTGAAAGATCACAAACATACAAAAGCTTAACAGAAATCCCCCTCGTTCTCAATACAGCACTTAGTCCATTAAAACTTTCACTTTCTTACAGAGTAAATCCATGCCTCTTTATGGCTATCTATTTAGCATATTGTCAACATAAATTCGAGATGAACGTTGTGGGAATTACTTGGGGGAGATTGTTAAATGAAATTTGGGGAATTGCATGTTGTCAGTTACTCCTCTCTACTTCATTATGATTCGTCTATATTGTGAGTTGTTGTCTTTGCCACTGGTGACATTCCGTAATCTTTCAAAGTCAAATTTCCATGTTTTTTAACAGGTGCTAAAAGTATATTCTCAAAATTTGTCTGGGGACCTCATGGGAGAATGGTCAAATTAGGTCAAAATATAAAACCTCCATTTCTTTTTTTTACTTATTTAGGTAGACACCAGTCAGGAGAAGCAAAAGGAAGGCAAGAAGAAGAACAAAGAAGGATCTGGAGATGGAGGCCGAGCAGAGGTAAAAGTCACCACTGCGGAGGGCTCTTCTGTCAGAGGTTGGGAAGCGCCTGGGAAGGGTCTCACACTTTCTCTGTGTGTAAGGACTCTAATGGTTTGTACGGGGTCATAAGATGGCATTAGATGGGAAAGTCAGGTAGAAAAATTAGGAAAGGGTAGTCAGAGAGGGGAAGAAAGGTGCAGTTATTTTTTTATTGCAAAAGGAAAACAAATATAATTGTAAGATACTCTGATTATGGGGTTAGAAATAAAAACCAGAGAACAAAAATTGGAGGGACTGATGGTCTTTATTTGCCAGACTGCATGCTAGCTGTGTGGTCATTTCACTAAGGAAGATGTGCAAGGGTAGAGGCTTGTTTTTTCATACGAGACCAAATATAGCAAACCAAAGGAAGCCCAGGTCCTCCACCTCCTTCTCATGGTTTCCACAGGACATGCCTCGGGTGACATTAAGTCAAGACCAATCCCCTTGAGGCTTCTCAGCTCTGGAGAAAATACTTTCAGTTTCCTCAGCTCACTCCTACAAGGACTTGGCATATCAAAAACCAGCCCAGAATCCACCTGGTTCCTATGTGTTTTGTTTTAGGAGGCAGTTAAGCTTGTCTTTCTGCTTTATTTCTGGAGTTGAACTGGTGTGAGCTTTGCTTCACTTTTTGCTTTAGTCATTGTGGCCGTTTTATTGTGCCCATTTTATTGGAGACTCTTTAGAAAACTACCAGAGGACAGAAGCACAAAGGAACAGGCTCCTTAGGAGTATAATCTAGGAGCATAAACTGGCTTTGAAGAGCCATTTTTCAATAAATGCTGCAGTTGCTGAATTTATAGTGGAATTTAAGCATCCATTTACTTACTAGTAAGTGTGTAGGTGATCAAGTGTGGTACTGCTTAGAGCCTTATGATCTTTTCTCTTAGGTTCAGTCAACCTCCTGTAATTCCCCACTGTAATTGTAGGGGAAGTTGTTGGTTATAATCTTTCAAGTTTTCAGGTAAATAGAAAAATGCATGTGTTCCTTAATTTCTTTATTATACTTTCAGTACAGTTGCACATACTGTTCTGTCACAACCTGAGAATTAGCCTGGAAATGGGTAACCCAGGGTATAACTTGAAGGCTCTTTTGAATGGAGTTTATTTTAATTTTTTGTTAGAATGCACTTCCACTCACCAGAGAGAGTGATATGGGGGAGTGGGAGAAAGCAGTCCCCCTCCCCAACAGGGCATGCTGCAATCTTTTCTCCATTTCTTCATCTTAACAGGATTTGGGGTATGCACACACACACACACGTTTAGTGTGTTTTTCAAGGTACTGGAACCAAGACTTGAACCATCATTTATTTACCTGTCTCTCTTTTTCCTCTCTAAGGACTATGTGTAGGTCTTACTCACCTCTCATTCCCAGACCTGTCACAGAGTATCTGCTCAATGAATGCTAAGTGAATTTAATTTTACCCTTAGTTCTTCTGGTTGGGAAGTGCCAGGAAGACATGGAGAGAAACTGCTGTACAGAGGGCCAGTGGGTGGGTAGAGCTGCACTGATGGTCTTGAGCAGGTCGGACTGGCTAGTGTGCTTTGAGCTGGAGGGTTCAGATTTGGGTTGTAGATAACAGGCTCTGACCTCTTAGTTAATTCATGGGTGCTTCCCTGTAGAGAGTTAGGGACCACTATGATAATTTGATATGTTCCCAAAGCTCACAAAGAATGATTAAAATGACTACAGGAAGAGAAAGATTGCTGTAGGAGGGAATTATAAAGGTGTTAGGGACTTGCATTTCAAAAGATGAAAGCCAAGAAGAGGTGACTGAAATGAAAAGGAAAGTGTATATAAAAGAATAAAAAGAAAAGTACTATTTGACATGAGAAACTTAACTATTCTAACAAGCTGTGTCCCAACAAGTTGAAAATATAACACATTTTAATATAAAATGGGAAGACCAGTCACTTGGTTTTATTTCCAGTATTGTTTATAACTGTACTTGTAAGATCATTTAGTTAGGAAGGACCTTGGAAAGGCATCCTAAAAGAAAGAAATAAAAACACTTGGTGCAAATAATAATAGTTTGCAAGATGGTGATGGTTATCAGTTGTTGGTAATCCAGATGTTTATGTTATTTATGCTTTTCTATTTCTTTAATGTAACATTGTAAGAAGTGGGCATTTTATTCTTTCCTTTACCTTCATTCAGAACCAGATTAAAGTAATGCCTGGTGGTTAAGGCAGTCCGTTTACCACAATCAATCAGTAATCATGGGCTTTTGCAATGTCTTACTTCATTATTTCTCTTTTCTAAAAAATGAAAGCAAATGTTTACTGATTATTTACTTTCTCATTTGTTGCCTTACAGTTGAATCCCTGGCCTGAATATATTAATACACGTCTTGAGATGTATAATAAACTAAAAGCAGAGCATGATTCCATTTTGGCAGAGAAAGCTGAAAAAGATAGCAAGCCCATTAAAGTCATGCTGCCTGATGGTAAACAGGTCCATGCGGAATCCTGGAAAACCACGCCGTATCAAATTGCTTGCGGAATTAGGTATGCGCTACACCTATTGCAACCTTTTAGAGTGTGTAACTTAACCAAATTTTGTTTTCTTACCGTGACAGGTTTTGTTCATATAATGTTATATTACTGTTCCATGTTTTAAATGTTTTCCTTATGTGAGATTTTTCAAATTAAAGTGATGTGGTGCTTTATACCTGAGTTATGTTTGTTATATTTATAACTTAATATTAATTTCTTGAAAGTGTATGCTTTGTTTTTTTTTTTTTCGAAGGATTTCATTAGTCCTTCTACTTAGATCATAAATCACAAAACCAAGTAGATAGTGTCTCATTAACTTTAACTTAAATGTCTCAGTTTTGAAGTTAAAAGTGAAGATAGATGTCTCACATAGGAAAATGAAGAAACTGATAAAGACCCACATAAAAAAATGGACTTTATAAACCCAAAGAAGGACCATGTATAATCTTAGAATTTGTTGGCTGGGAAGTTATTTCAGGTAACTGAGACCCATGCTTTGTGATAGAGCAAAGGCTTCCTTTCTTTCTTTTCTTTTTTTTTTAAGTTTGTTGTAGGACACATGTGCTCGCTGCAGAGAGAGAAGTGAAAAATCATCCCCTAGGGGAGATGGCCAGGTTGCAGGTTGCAATTTCTTCTCCTCCATTCTCCTATTGGAACTTTGGGCACGTATACACACATGTTCAGTATAGTTCTCAAGCTGTCAGGACCAAAACAAACCATGCAGTTGGCCATGTAGGGTCCAGATGCCTTAACCGCCGTGTCACCTGCTGGCTTGAGCAAAGGCTTTTTTTTATCTGATAAGATTAGCAGCAATAGTTGGTCGGTTTATCAGACAGTGTTAAAGTTGGGCAAACTTAAATTGATACATAGCTCTTAAACCAAATGCTGGCAAACTGCGGTCAGAAACTGTATTGGTAAGGTCTGAAAGCTCAGAACTGTTCTTACACATTTAAGTGGTTGAAAAAATAGAACAACTAAGAAGCAGTTTTCCAAAGATACCATGTGTGGTCTGCAAAGTCTAAAGTGTTTATGAGGATCTTCACAGATAAAATTTGTCGACCTTTTTCTTAACCATTTTAACTTGAAATATATACATACAATGGAACTTTAAGCAGTTAGTGGAATAGTGAATAAAAGTATAGGTCTTTTTTTGGTACAAAATGTATTGAAATTCATACATCTTTTTTGTAATATGCATTTTCTATTATCTTTTTGAAGCACTCTTGTGTACATTCACTAATTTTGTATATGTAAGGCTAAGCTTTTGGGAGTAGAGTGTTAATTTGGGTTCTTACATTGTCTTATCATACTTCGAAACAAGTCTGAGTGCAGAATCCTTCCAGATTATTTTTACTTGTCAGAGGGCATGAGCATTTGCCAGCAGGGAGAGAGAGAGAAGGAGAGAGGGAGAGCGAAGCATCCCCAGTGGGTGTAGTCACACCATCATCCGTTATCCATTTCTCCATCTGAATTTTGGCCACACATGTACACATGCCTGATACGTTTTTCCAAGTTGACAGGGCTAACTGATAGGTCAGGTGGGATCCAGCTCCCAGCTCCCTGTCCACTAGGCCATGGGACTGGCTTTTCCATATTTAAAGTATTGGGTTGTCGGAAAAGTCATATTTGTTGATGATTTTTTTTAAAGATTTATTTATTTGTAATTTTATTTATTATCATTATTCTACTTTGACCAGAAAGATACAGACAGAGAAAGGGAGAGTGAGAAAGCAAACTGCTAGGGCCAGGACTAGAACCGTGGTCAGCCATGTGGGAATCTAGCACCTCAACCATGCCACCTGCCGGTCCCTGTTGATGATTTTTTTAATGCAAAAATGCATCACGACTTTTCCAACAACCCAATAGTTGTTTCAGCCATACCCAGGTTGACCATATTTTTTGTGACTTGCCTTTATCAAACCTTCTCAGATATTCAACCTAGTTTTTATAGGAACTATCATTTCCTGTTATGGAATTATTGATATTTTTTAGACTTCGTATCATAGCTACGTATTGTGTTGGGTTGGACTACATTAAGTCAACATATGAACTGTCAAGAATGGTTGATTACCACCGTCATATTGCTGAACTTGAGACTTAAAATAACAAGCACATAAACCACTCTGGGAACTGTACTGTTGATTCTGTGTGAGCCCATTAAGCAGCTGGTGGGAGCAGAAGCAGTTAGGTCCACAAGCCTTGAGCCTTTTGTATGCCACAGACTTTGGTTAGTATTTTATATTACAGAGTTACCGGAGTATTTCAGTTAATTTGACAAGTATGTGTACCTTTTAGTATTTATACCTTACTCAACAGGAAGTAAGAAAATTGTAATAGCAAGCAAGCTTTCATGGGAGATCATAGAGAACTCGATAAACCTTTAAATGTCATTCAACCTTTTTTTTTTCCTTTTAAGAGGTAATTATGAAGTTCAGGTTGATAAGAGATTTCTCCATTGTTGCACAAATAGATTGTACCCATGACCTTGAAATTCAAGTTCCTAATAGTGCAGAAACTTTTCTTTCTACCACATGCTACACAGTTATACTCTAGATTACATTCTAATTTATCACATAAACTGAAAATATTTTTTTGTGAGAACTGTACAATTCTTTTTCTTGGAGAAGTTTTTGCTATAGGGAACATGCACTTGCCAGAGAGACAAGAGAGACAGAAAGCTAGAAATCACCTCCCCAGGGGGGATGGCCATGCTGCAATCCCTTCCCCTCTGTTCTCCTCTCAGGATCTTTGGCATGCACGCACATGTGCCCGGAATGAGTTAAAGCCACCAGGTCCTGGACTCGAACCACAGTAGAGTACATGGGAATCCAGCAACATAGCCATTACGCCAACCGCTGGTCCTGAGAGCTGTAAAATTCTAAGTTGAATTACATAGAATGTTGATGGACTTTAGCTATGGAGTATAGTCACCTATATGTTTTAAGGGCTCTTTATGACTATTTTATTAAAGTTCAGAATAACTTTTTGTTGTTCTGTGAAAAATTTTAGCATGAGTAACATGATTTAAAGGTTCAGATGATTAGCGATGAATATGAAAAGGAAGAACAAAGAAAGTGTACTCTGTTTGCGTCAAAAGGTTTTTCTTTGATATTCTTGAAAGTATAGACTATTTTATCCCTTCTTTGAAAAATTGGAATGATCCAGTATGGTCTGTGTGTAATTTACATTTTCAAAGTACCTCTATCACTTATGTCTTATGGGATACCATTTTGGACCATAAAAGTAATTTTCCTCCTCAAAAAAGGTTCTTGAGTCTTTCGAAAACTGTTTTAAAGTAATATAAGATAGATGTTTCTGCCAAGTCAATGTTACGTTTTGCAAAGTGCATGTATTGTATTCATTTACTGGCTCCATCTAATCTGAAGAGGATACAAAACTTTGAATACCATCAATAGGAAAGTCAGGGAGCACTGAAATTGAAATAGGAATTTATCGTTTACCTTCTGTTTGTTCTTCTCTCCTAATCCTTTTTTTTTTGGAGAGTTTTTTTTTTTTTTTTTTGCTATTA